GGTGAAGCGCGCAGCGGGGAAGGGGATTGGACAGACCCCGAGCGCCGCGACAGTTGTGACTGTCATTTTTATTTTTAGGAACCCCAAATTGGGCACGTGTGGGGCTGGAGTTGCGCTTGTTGTAAAACTTGGGCTCTTTTTAACATTTGGGGCTGGAAAAAGCAAATGACAGCATTATTATGTCAGTGAGACAATTTAACACAGTATGCTAAAAATATATGGAAAAGGGATGACAGGCTGTTTATTAATAAATAATAAATAGTATGACAGTTTAATAATAAACAATATTTTGGCTGCAGTTGACAAAACCTCTATTCCAGTCAATGAAGTCATACACTGTAAAACATTTTTTGTTCAATTTAGCTAGTGATTTTGCATGTCACAGTTCTTAACTGTATAGGTCTACGTCATTAAATTATATATATATATATATATATATATATATATATATAATTTCAAACCAAAGATTTTCAGAGTATGTTTTTACAAGTTATTCTACTTCAATGTGTAATTGACTAGCAATTTCTGAGTAAAAAATAGATTTTTGGTACAAAAATTTTACCTTTTTTTTCAGTGTACATTACAATTTAGTCATCGAACCTGTGCAGGGTTTCCGAATGTGTTCGGTCAGTTTATAAAACAGTTCAAATGTACAGTTGATGACCCATATTAAATATGTATTATTATGCGGTTTGCATGGAGTCTGCTACAAAGTGTAAGAACAACCTTCAGTGAGGTCTGAATGTTCAAAAATCACTATAGTGATATATATATATATCCAGAACTATTTTAAATTTTATGCATGATGAGGATTTAATTTAGATTTCATTAATTTGGCACTAAAATATGATTAATGATTGCATTAAATGAGTTTATAAGGTATATCCTACCTAGAGGCTATGGACTGTGTGATTAAAATATATAATTCAGACCTGGGCTAGTTTAGTGTTTGTGCCATTAAAGTGAAAAGTGAAGTGAAGTGACATGTGGCCAAGTATGGTGACCCATCCTCAGAATTTGGGCTCTGCATTAAACCCATCCAAGTGCACACACACAGTAGTGAACACACACACCGTGAACACACACCTGGAGCAGTAGTTGGGGGTTCAGTGCCTTGCTCAAGGGCCTCACCTCAGTCATGGTATTGAGGGTGGAAGAGAGTGTTGGTTATTCACCCTATTATTCATGACTGAATTAGTTACAATAACACACTGTGAGATATTATGGGTCTGAACTGGAATGTATATACAGTAAATGTGTAACAGTTAGACAGAATGAGTTATTTTAATTCACTGTTTGCTCCTGTGGTGAACTGTGACTAAACCATATACAGGCATATGGTTCACTATTACTGGAAAAGTAAGACCCCCATGGACACCATATTTCATGTGTCATACACAAAAAAAAAAAAAAACATAAAAAAGGTTTAAAACGGAAAAGAAACCTCTGACACACAAAACCCAGAAATAGAAGAGGTTCATATACTTACAATGAAGTCACAGCCATGACTCAGAACCTCAGCATGCTTCGATGTGAACTGACAAATAAAACAAATGTGAATGTCAGAAGAAAGACTAGATAAATGAAGGGGGACATCTGTTCATCATTTAGTGAAAGCCATGGATATCATCTCACCTTATGATTCAACAACAGCCTGAAACAAAAACAAGCTAAAAGCAATTCGCTGATCTGACAGAAATAAACGAGCACATACATTAGATCACGATGCTCTGGATAAACTACTTTATTAGTTCCTGTTCATTTACAAAATATACATGGTTACCAAAATACTTCAAATTTCATTATTATTTTTTAAATAAATGCCTGTTAAGGCAAGACAACATGTAAACATGTCAAAGACACTGTACAGAACAGTTACAGTTACACAAGTACATACAGACACGCAGCAGCATCGCTACAACACATACCGACATCTTCATACATTAACCACCCTCCAACATCCAGTAAAGCGCCATTTACAAATGCATTTCTAATGATTTTGTTAGTCTGTACAATTTGCAATTCTCTCAAAAACCAAAAGACTTTAATTACAAGATTAACAGAACAGAAGAGATAACTGGCCTGGATGGGATTGTACAGAAAGGACTTAAAGAAATAGTTCACTCAAAAATGAAAATCTGCTGAAAATGTACTCACCCTCAGGCCACCCAAGATGTAGATGAGTTTGTTTATTTTTTCCATCTTAAAAGATTTTGAGAAGTTTAGCACTACATCACTTGCTCACCAATGGGTCCTCTGCAGTGAATGGGTGCCGTCAGAATGAGAGTCCAAACAGCTGATAAAAACATCACAAGAAATCCACACGACTCCAGTCCATCAATTAATGTCTTATGAAGTGAAAAGCTGTGTGTTCTTAAGAAACAAATCCATCATAAAGGGGTTTTAACTTTAAACCAATGCTTCCAGCTAAAATATGAATCCTCTATCCGTGATATTGTTTTATCCAGTGAAAAAGTAATCTCCTCTGAATCAGGAGAGAAATATGCTCAGATGAAGCACCGTTTACAAGCAAAAGACAAAACAGTTCTAAACAAATATGTCTACAAATATGTGAGAGGACAACAAGGGATGGACTTTTTCACAGGAGGAAGCATTATAATGAATTATGGACTCATATTTAGGCCAAAAGTGATGGTTTAAAGTTAAAATGCCTTAATGATGCATTTGTTTCCAACAAAAACGCTGCTTTTCACTTCACAAGACCATAATACAGTGGCACATGTGGATTATTGTGATGTTTTTATCAGCCGCTTGTACTCTCATTCTGACGGCACCCATTCACTGCAGAGGATTAATTGGTGAGACTTAAAGAAATAGTTCACTCAAAAATGAAAATCTGCTGAAAATGTACTCACCCTCAGGCCACCCAAGATGTAGATGAGTTTGTTTATTTTTTCCATCTTAAAAGATTTTGAGAAGTTTAGCACTACATCACTTGCTCACCAATGGGTCCTCTGCAGTGAATGGGTGCCGTCAGAATGAGAGTCCAAACAGCTGATAAAAACATCACAAGAAATCCACACGACTCCAGTCCATCAATTAATGTCTTATGAAGTGAAAAGCTGTGTGTTCTTAAGAAACAAATCCATCATAAAGGGGTTTTAACTTTAAACCAATGCTTCCAGCTAAAATATGAATCCTCTATCCGTGATATTGTTTTATCCAGTGAAAAAGTAATCTCCTCTGAATCAGGAGAGAAATATGCTCAGATGAAGCACCGTTTACAAGCAAAAGACAAAACAGTTCTAAACAAATATGTCTACAAATATGTGAGAGGACAACAAGGGATGGACTTTTTCACAGGAGGAAGCATTATAATGAATTATGGACTCATATTTAGGCCAAAAGTGATGGTTTAAAGTTAAAATGCCTTAATGATGCATTTGTTTCCAACAAAAACGCTGCTTTTCACTTCACAAGACCATAATACAGTGGCACATGTGGATTATTGTGATGTTTTTATCAGCCGCTTGTACTCTCATTCTGACGGCACCCATTCACTGCAGAGGATTAATTGGTGAGTGAGTGAAGTAATGTTAAATTTATCCAAATCTGAAAAAACAAACTCATCTACATCTTGAATGGCCTGAGCCCTGATGGTGAATACATTTTCAGAAAATTAGCATTTTTGGGTGAACTATTCCTTTAAATTAAAACAATGTGACATTCAAAATTCACTGATAAAGTGAAACATTTTATATAATAATTCATAATAAGGTCCATTTGGGGAAAGCCTGGGCTTTCCAAAAGTTGCTATTTACTCTGATTGCATATTTGGAAATATTCTGGACACTTTCAAATCATAAGTTTCTTCCACAGCCAAAGTAACTGAGTGAACAGATAAAACAAATTAAAAGAGAACCTAAATGAAATTGGTCTTCATTTTCAACACGTGAAAATGCAAAAATAAACTTGGAGTTGGACAAATCATGCAAAGTCTAATCGTACGAAATTGTCACAGGAGCTAAAATCTACCACTGGTTTCTATCACTCGGCATGCACAATCTACTGCCACAGACATGCAAAAATAAACAATCTGTACATATTACATCATTTACAAGTGCTGAGTGGAAGAGAAAAATAAATTTGCTCCTTCTGATGTGAAACACGTTTACAAATTCCATTTCATCAAAGTAACAAACCTTCCAATGCAGTACAGGGCAAATAGCACGTTTATTTCAAAGACAAATCACTGTGTAGCATGCACTGTCTTACAGAAAGTCAGCTGACCACTGATACATTGAACATTCAGTTGTGCTACCACGGAGTTCTGAGTCTATCAACAGGATAGCAGAAAACGGCACTGGAACGACCTTGGGATACTGCAGATATTCCCAAACACTGAGACTAACAACTAATGCCAGGTCTTAAAACCACACTACAAAGATAACTGCCACAACGCTAGTCAGCTGCCTGCAAGCAAATATGTCTACTATGATTTAGTCACTTTGATAAGAAGTCTACTTTGTGCTGTTTGTTGAAAATGACACTAAAAGACATCAGGTGAAGACAACTTGCGTGTATACCAGAAACGGTTATATAGCAATAGATACTGTTAGTATAAAGTCATAGATTCTGTTCGTACCAATAGTACCTCGAGGCTCAAAGCATTCATTTACCAGAATAATTACATGATGGATATGAGTTCAGTGACAGTATTATTAATCTTCATACAGGAAGGTACATCTGTAATAATCCCCATCCACCCAAAGACCTCAAAATTGTGACCTCTGATGTAAAAAGCTACATATAAGTACATATTTCTCAGTTTTAAACGTCTTTAGTGAAATATACATCATTTAAGACAAGTTTCTTATCATTATAACTTTTTTGGGTGAAAGGCAGTATGGAAGTTTCACTCTTGTTAGCTAGCTACTCAATTCATGCTATTTATGTTATTTATGCTACAGATTTGAATTGCATTGTAAGAAACATCTGTCACGGTGTTCTGTAAGGGTTTATGATAGTAGTTCTCAGCTGGTTTTTACACTGATACCAAATACATTACTAAAATAGTTTTTGTATTTTTAAAAAAAAAGGTAAATCATTAACATTTATTAATATTAGCATGAACTGCATAGGTCCAATGATATGCATGATAGGATTTGGGAAGATTTACTCACTACAAATGATATGGAAAGCATTCCAGGTCTTATTTTGCATTTTTATAAGCTTTTTATTTTTGCTACAGTATTTTAACTTTATTTTAGGACAGTTTTTCCTAAAATAAACAACCTGCATCTCATTTTTGGGTCCAGACACCAGTTGAGAACCACTTTTTCATGACATTTTGTACAAATGTAAAACCTTTCAAACTCTTGTCAGTTTCCTTGCAGAGAAGAGATTGTATAGATATATATGTCAGCTGTGTTTTGTCATTGCAAACATGCAAAAAAAAAAAAAAAAAAACGGCAAATAACCTCAGATGAAATTATCAATGCAACATCAGTGGAATTACAGTAGAACTGTGCTTGTTCATTACACTTATTTTAGTGTTCTTTTAGTGTATGCATTAGCCAACCCTTCTATAAAAATATCTATCACTCTTTAGCATAATTTATCAATCTACACACATAAAATCAATCTACAAATTTCATGTCTTGGAATAAACAATTCAGATACAAAAATATCTGTGTAAGTTTAAAATAAGCACATTTACTTGCTAGAATAACCTTAACCCACCTGGAATCTTCAAACTCTGAATTTTTTCACCAAAATTAATGTAAAAATGACAAATAGTATGCATTACATGAGTATTCTCCTTTGCTAGTATATAGAGAAGTACTGTACAGATACCTACAGAGTTTTTGAAACCAAAGAGAACGTGCTCGAAAGTGAAAGAAGTTCTCAGTTATTGAACCTAAACACAAATGATTCTGACAATATTGAGACTTTGGTAAGTAATTATTCAACATGGGAAGATTCAGGAAGATTAAATAAGTACTGCATGCTCCTACCTATTCCAAAAGCAATGAAGCACAAAGCAATATGCTGCATCCAAAGCATTGTTGATGAAGAACGGCGTCCTCTTCGGTCCCCAAGCGATCGGGAATCTGTTTATAGAGGTAAAATGTGCAAATTTTCTATCGAAAAGTGATAAGGCAAATAGTTTTGGGAAAGAAAACAACTGATGAAATGGAAAGCAGGGAGCCAGACCAATCAGAAGCTCTCAGAGTCGTCGTCCATTCTGACCGTTTAAATACTCACAGCATGGCGTCAGTGTCTGTAGCACTGCTGGTCGAAACGGATATGATTGTCTACAAAAGCAGAGCAAAGCAGTTGAGACGGCAAACAACCAGCATCACGATGCACACCCAAAAGCGTCAAGTTTGGAAGCCATGTGTTATTGTGTTCCCAGGTGAGTGGTGGTTTTCGGTTCCCATTGGTGGTTAAGTGTGGTCAGGGTGATAGAATTGTGTACCATGGGCAGAGTGGGACGATGAGGTCACTTCCTGTCCAGCGCTCAGGCCAGAGCTCTGGTGAAACAGGGAATGAGTAGAACTGCTGCTGCTGCCACTGCAACAACCATCACCAGGTTCCAGTCTCCCTCACTCTCCTGAGGTCAATGAGAGGATGAGAATGAGGTCAAGGGAAGTCATATTTAAGTTTGTGATGTTTTTTCTCTTAATTATTGTTGGTTGATAGTATTATAAGAATAGAAATTTGACATTGGTTGTTTAACAATTTTTCAGCCATACACAGTTACATTTTTATATTTTAAGTATATATATATTAATGCTATATAATTTTGTATTATATAAATAATATATATATATAATTATATTAACAATATTTTAATTAAATATATAGTATTATATACATATATACTTTTAAAATTTTAAGCGGATAACCAATATTTTGTGCATCTCTGATTTTGTAAAAGTAAACGTTTACATATTTTTTAACATTTAAATTACAATTAAAAATATTCTCTTCCAACTTCCTTTAACTTTAAAATTCATGTACTTTTTCTGACAAGAGGCCTCGATGTTCTTGACCAAGTGTTCACTGAAGTAGGTACACACTCACAAATGTCAATGAAACAGAAACACAAATCAGAGTTGGATCTCTGGCTAGAGGACACTGAATGAGGCTACAGAACTGATCTGGTTTTAATGAACCTTCTGAGGACTTGTTGTTTATTTCCAGTCATCTTCTGTAATAGCGCTGGACTTGAGAGCTAAATATACCCATCCAGAAATGTGGAGAGATACAAAGCCAAGAGCAATGACCCAGTAAATACTCCAATCACTGTCACACACGTTTTTTTTTAAGTACTCTATTACTCTCTGTCCATCTGGTGTTGTGAGATTGGCAGTGGAAACTGCATGACAGTCCAGCAGAATCAAAGAACTGTGTAAGTGTGTGTGTGTGGCTTCAGTTGGCCCCGCTGGCCAGCAGAACTGTGGAAATCAGAGTTGTGTCATGCATTCGGCTGGGATAATAACATTCGGAAATCTCAGAGGATGTCTGAATGACTTGATTTTTGATGGTGCCAAACATCCTGACTGAAGAATATAAGAAATATGTCTATGATGCAAAAATTCTGCTGTCCAAACTACAAAAGCACAATCTAATTTGGCAATCTAACTAAAGACACGTCAACTTCCTTTGGGAAAAGGATGTTTTTTATGCTTTTTCTATATACAGGGTTACATTTGCTCAAAGAATTGACCCATTTTTAACATACTCCATCCTGAATGAGAGTTCTTAATGTTTGTGTTTTGTTTAGGGGGGGGGTTAAACCTTTGAAATGACAGGAATAAATGCAACTAGATGCTGAAATATTCTGTCCAGGAAAGATGTTTGAGAATAATAAGATAAAGAAATCAACTTGTTGATGTTGACAAGAATTATTCTATTTTGTCAGTAACATTTCAGACAAGACTGTGGCTAGGACATGCTAATGGGTATACATGGGTTAGCCTCATTCATTGTTTAGGCTTGCAGTTTTTTGTTCTGCCACAAACTTGGTTCAGAAATGAAGTTTGTCCTGTAAATTCACACTTATATGATTATTTAAAGGGATAGTTCACTCAAAAATGAAAATTCTGTCATCATTTACTCACCCTCAAGTTAATCCAAAGTTGTATGAGTTTTTTCCTTTATGTTGAACAAAAAAGAAGATTTTTTTTTGAAGAATGTTGGTAACCAAACAGTTGCCGGTAGCCATTGACTTTCTTTTTTTTTTTCTCCATACTTTTGAAGTCAATGGCTACCAGCAACTGTTTGGTTACCGATTTTTCATACAGGTTTAGAACAAATTGTGGGTGAGTAAATGATGACAGAATTTTTTATTTTTATGTGAGTTGTTTTTTCAGACTAGTTAACATGGAAAACTATGTTTGTGAAACAATGTGCACATCCATAAAAGGCCCTCGTAAAGAATCAGGCAATGTGTCTAATGGGCAAACAGGTTTGTTTAGCATGACAGTTGTGACCATTTATTGTGCCTTATAAAAAGTTAAATTTTGACCAGGATAAAGATGAGTTTCACAATACAGGAGGGACAAAAATAGGCTCATCTCTGGACTATTAGAGAAAGAAAAGGCAAAGCCATACCTTTCCCCCTTTAGGACAAGAGCTCCTTCCAGCAGCACCATATCAGGCCCATTATTACAACCATTCCTATGAAGGGTATGGAGAGAATAGGGCACTCAGACGAAGGAGTGGAGCTCTGAGGAAAAACACAGGGGGTGCAGGGATGGAGAGAGGAAGAGGAGGAAGAGGTGGTGAGAGAAACAAAAGAAAAAAATGACAGACACTCAAAATAAGGTAATGATTACACATGGTAGGTTTGTGAACATGTGGAATTACAGGTAAAATATGGAAAATAATAAAGTAATAGAGAGAAAGAATGAAGAGTGTGAGGATGAAAGGGAGAAAACACAACCAGATAGATAGATCGATAGATCGATAGATAGATAGATAGATAGATAGATAGATAGATATGCCAGCAGTTTATCAGGAATCATCAAATTTGTTTGGAATTTGATATAGTTCAGTGTGCGTCGTGAGCATATGGGAGTTTATGATATGTTTATGTAGGTGTTCAGTGGTTATAAAGCAACAGAACAAAGCGATGAATGACCACGGGGGAGCAGGGAGACAGGAAAATACACTAAGATTAGATACACAGCAAAGATGGTTAAACACTAAATGGAAACCTTGTGCTCGTTTTGACCCTCCGGCTGTTAAACACAGAGCCAAGGTCACCATCTTGGCATTTAAAGATCCTTGCCCACACTGCACAGCCAGCCCACGGTATTAAACCAATGTACCGGGTTAAATCTGTCGACAGTATTTGGGACATGTTGTTGAATACCACAGAAAATTATTCGGATTCATCCTTCTGTTTGTATAAACAAACAAACCAAACATGTTAAGAGAAAGCATTGTATCTTTCTCCCATATGCTTACATTGTAAACCCATCTATCAACTATCTAATGACGCTTTTCCACTGCATGGTACGGCACGGTACGGCTCGGTACGGTTCACTTTTGGGGGGTTTTCCACTGGGTACAGTACCTGGTACTTTTTTTAGTACCACCTCGGTTGAGGTTCCAAGTGAACCGTACCGTTACCAAAACGTGACGTGTAAACTCTGCTGATCACGGATTGGCCGGAGAGAATCGTGTTAGAAAGACCTCTATGTCAGTGCACATTGTACACACACAAAAGCTTGATATACTACAGTGGATCAAGAAAACTAGCTAGACACATTAGCTGCTAAAGGTTTGACAAACACAAGATGTGAAAACACACACAGCCCAGAATCAATGTGTGTGACAGGGCAAAAAGCAACCCAAAGTGAAACATACACACTCGACCGAAAATGGAGGAGTGGTTTAGTTAGACAGGATGCGCTTTGAAAGACAGGTACTGCTGTTGGACAGATGGTCGCTTCAGTTGATGGTTGACCCCATATGCAAAACATTAGTCATGTACAGAGCATTTTCAAACGCTGACAAACATGTAGGTCGATGGAGTCATGGTGCCATTCTGTTGATAATATTTCGCCCTACTTGCTGTGTGAGTAATGTCTATTTGTTTTCAGCATGTGTACAGTACAGTGATTTATTTGAGGTCACATTTTTACCCCAAAGGAGTTCACACGTTCACTGTCTGAAGTTCTAGAGTGATGGCTCTTATGGATTTGGAAGAAAGCAGTGGGTTATGACTGATGTCCGACCCCCTTTATGACCCCTCACCTGAGCCTTCCTCCCAGCCAGCCGATCAAGCTCCGCCCTACAATGCTGCAGCTCCGCCTCTAGCTCCGCCCTCTCCCTCTGGCTGCTCTCATACAGCCCCTGCAGTTCCATAAGCTCTCCCTTTAGTCCCTCACACTAAAAGAATGGAGAGACATAGAGAAATAACAAATGATAGAGGATAAGTGATTAGATTCACTGAGTCACAGAGAGAGTTTTAGCTTGTGTGGCAGAAAGTAGTTGACTAAAAATCTTTTAATCATTCCATTATTCAACAGGAGGACAGAGGAATTAGATTTTTTTTTTTGTCACACTGTCAGGGTTTTTCAGCGATATTTCCCACAAGGTCATGTTGTTGAACAACTGAAGACAAAATAACCAGATATTCTGGGACCATCAAGTATTTGGCTCACACTTTTTGTCAACACTGTGACAGATGGTTTTGTTTGCAACCTGATGTGACCTCAATTCACCCCATACTGAGAGTGAAGAATGTTTTTATTTAGTATTTTTGGTAACACTTTAGTATAGGGTCCAATTCTCACTATTAACTAGTTGCTTATTAGCATGCCTATTATTAACCTATTGGCTGTTTATTAGTGCTTATAAAAAGTACATATTCTACATGACCATATTCTACATCCCTAATCCTACCCAATACCCTAAACTTAACAACTACCTTACTAACTATTAATAAGCAGCAAATTAGGAGTTTATTGAGGCAAAAGTCATAGTTAATGGTTTGTTAATGGCGAGAATTGGACCTTAAAATAAAGTGTGACTGTATTTTTGTTGTAAAATAATGTTTAAAATATGAAACTTTTTTAATTATCAGACATTATCATCACAGATGGTAGATAGGTAGATAGAACTCTAAAGTTCATCTGTTTTTTGGCTAGGTGGTAATGGTAAATCTCAAAATATTCAAATAATCTAAATTAATTCAACAAATAGAGTAAATTCCGGACATTGCGTACCTCTCTCTGGACCTGTGATGCTTTCTCCTCGGCCTGTTTCAGCTGGTCTCTGAGGGAGAACACCTCCGAAAACCCTCCACTCATCCCCATCGGGGTGATGGGTTTCCCCTCAAAGGAGATGTTCTTTTGGGTGTAAGCATCCACCGGATTCCCACCTCCTACTTCCAACGTGCTGACGAAACCCTCGGCCATCACCTCTTTCTCTACATCTTTTTCTGTGTCATTTTCTCCATCATTCTGCTCTGCTTTGAGGGCCAGGCATGAATCAGCTGAGCTGTCAGGATGAAAGTAGGAAATGTACAGTACAATTATGTTGTGGTGCATTTTTTAGTGTATTACTAATTAGGGGTGTAACGATTAATCGATATGGATCGATACGATGTCTGACGATACATCAATGCCACACGTAAAATATCGATATCTGTAGTATAAATTGGCACCCTTATTTTGGCACTGTCCACATTTTCACATAATGTCCGTCCATGCATTACCGCCAACGCGTGCATTCTCGCTCAAACTCGCGTATCAGGACTATTTAATTTATACAGTGAAGACTATGCAGTTATTTTACATTTGATTATTACATTTCTGTAGCGTACCTGAAAATTTATTTTAGACTGAGCTGAAAAACCTGAACTTGTGTCTTTGTTGTATTGTATTTATTTTCTGCTATTGCTTGTAATTTGGTTATCTGTAGAAAAGATTTTTAGCACTGAGCCCATAGTAGCAGCCAGAATTGTTTTTCCAATTGTTTATTTTCTTTATTATTCAACAAATAGAGTAAATTCCGGACATTGCGTACCTCTCTCTGGACCTGTGATGCTTTCTCCTCGGCCTGTTTCAGCTGGTCTCTGAGGGAGAACACCTCCGAAAACCCTCCACTCATCCCCATCGGGGTGATGGGTTTCCCCTCAAAGGAGATGTTCTTTTGGGTGTAAGCATCCACCGGATTCCCACCTCCTACTTCCAACGTGCTGACGAAACCCTCGGCCATCACCTCTTTCTCTACATCTTTTTCTGTGTCATTTTCTCCATCATTCTGCTCTGCTTTGAGGGCCAGGCATGAATCAGCTGAGCTGTCAGGATGAAAGTAGGAAATGTACAGTACAATTATGTTGTGGTGCATTTTTTAGTGTATTACTAATTAGGGGTGTAACGATTAATCGATATGGATCGATACGATGTCTGACGATACGATACATCAATGCCACACGTAAAATATCGATATCTGTAGTATAAATTGGCACCCTTATTTTGGCACTGTCCACATTTTCACATAATGTCCGTCCATGCATTACCGCCAACGCGTGCATTCTCGCTCAAACTCGCGTATCAGGACTATTTAATTTATACAGTGAAGACTATGCAGTTATTTTACATTTGATTATTACATTTCTGTGGCGTACCTGAAAATTTATTTTAGACTGAGCTGAAAAACCTGAACTTGTGTCTTTGTTGTATTGTATTTATTTTCTGCTATTGCTTGTAATTTGGTTATCTGTAGAAAAGATTTTTAGCACTGAGCCCATAGTAGCAGCCAGAATTGTTTATTTTCTTTATTATAAAAAAAAAAAAAAATGTGTAGGCCTATTTTTTGTTGTGAATGTCCCAATTGAGGTACAGGATGTAAAAATTTCAGATAAATGTTCATGTTATATATTTTGGTTGCATTTGTGAGTTAATAAAAATGTAGATGGTTGTTTAAAATAGATATATAATATCATAATATCGATATATCGATCGATATACTCCTGTATCGAATCGAATCGTATCGTAGAATTTTTTGAAGTATCAGCAAATATCGTATTGCTGGGTATGAGAATCGATATCGTATCGTGACGAACCATCCGATTTACACCCCTATTACTAATGTACTTGAACTTGTGAGCTCTTGCTGCACTCTTTGCAGATTAGCTTCATACTGTAACTTTGATACTGTGTGTGTGTGACAGCCACACTGCAGTACTCATTACTGATTCCTTCTCATAATCATTTATTCAAAATCTCAACAACTCTTTGGTTTTCTCTCCCACAAATGTGTTTGGCCAGATTTACAACTCAAATCAGACAACTTATTGAGTGATGCATTAGAAAATCAAACTGTGCCAATGAAAAATAATATTAATCTTCACCACCTTTTCAAAATTTTTAACTGTTTATAATCAGCGGTTTTCACTTACCAGAACAGTTATTCTTTTGAGCTGAAACATTTAGCACTAGTTTAAAAAACATAACGGTTTATTTACAGAAGCATTCATTTTAAATAAAGATTGAATTAGATTCATAAAGACAAAGAAATCTTGACGTCTTAAAATAGCTGTAAGGCAACTGTGGCTCATCTCGCTGCCAAAATATTTGGATAAGACGAAATACACAATCATTAATGTTTCATGTTGCTGTGAAACACTTTCATAGCTGCTAAATAGTTTTAGTTAGAGTGTCCACTGAGACAGATTATGGCTGAATGCTTCAGCGGTCACGCCGGCCTTATTAAAGGGGTCATCGGATGCTAAATTCACTTTTGTTGTTGTTTGGTGACAAGGCCGTCTTACCTTAGACCTGCCCTGAGTGAGCTGTCATGAGTCAGCCATTGTGTCGACTCCGGTGCAGGGGAAGACAAGAATGTCTCCGATTAAGTGATTGAGGTGTTTTGCTGTTGGATGTAATAATGAACATAGCAGTCGTCATTCACTCCCGACATCTGAGCCGCTGAAGACGCAGAGGATTAACGTTACTTTCATTTTGAAGGGAATGCGCCGATCCCCGATCTGCCTAAATGCGTCTATGTTCGCGCGAATCATTCGTGATCGAGCTTCATCTACACAAGAAGTGAGTATAAGGTTTTTTATGAATCTTTGCAAATCGCCTTTCCTAATATGTGCTAGTTAGCAAGTTTCGCAGCTAAAGTAAACACTACTGCTCGTCACCCACAGAAGAGAGGGGCGGGGCGAGCAGAGCTCATTAGCATTTGAGCTCTGACGTGCTGAAAACAGAGCTCATTTTGACAAGGTAAAAAGGGTGTTTTTTACACTACCATTGAGAAATTTTAACCAAAGTATGTTATAGACTTTTCATTAAGACCCTAAAGAATCATATAAACTTATATCAAATGGGCATCCGATGACCCCTTTAACAGAGACTGAGTTTGCGATGCTCAGTGGCTAATTTGTCTTGTTTGTGTGTGATTGACAGGCCGTGTGGCCAATCACCTGGCTCGCTGCTGCTCCAACATCTCCAGTTTCTCAGAGAGCTGCTTGTTGTCGTTCTTCAGAGTCTGACACTCGTCCTTCAAGCAGCGACACTCCTCCATCAGCTGGTCCATGTCACCTGTCCGAACAGATGTCAGTCAAAGTAGAAGTAGGGAAAAACAGTGAATTCAGAATAGCATATTAGCATTACTACTTTTAATATGTCTGCTATTCTAAATTCATGTATGTTCCAAATGGAATACATACCATATTACTTGTACTACTTTTTGTATACTGTTCACATTATGGAATTTTTATGCATGAAATATCTGGATGATCTTCTATATTAACCAAACTGCAAATACAATATACTATAAAAACACAGTATGCTATGCCAAATGTAGTCGCACGCTATGTTCTGAACAAAATACTAGTATACCAAAGTAGAGCATACTGCACAATATCTTCTGCCTACAATTTGATAAACTGCACTTGAATAATAATACACTATCATTCAAAAGTTTAATGCCATGAGATATTTTAATGTTTTTGAACAGTCTCATATGCTCACCAAGCCTGCATTTATTTGATCAAAACATGTGAAATTGTGAAATATTCTTGCAATTCAAAATAACTGTTTTTTGATTTGTGTAATTTATTCCTGTGAATGAAAAGCTGAATTTTCACCATCATTACTCCAGTCTTCAGACATGATCCTTCAGAAAATATTCTAATATGCTTATTTGCTGCACAAGAAACATTTAGTATTGCTTAATATTTTTGTGGAAACATGATAAATTTTTTATGGGATTCTTTAAATTTAATTTTAAAGAACAGCATTTATTTGAAATAGAAGTCTTCTGTAACATTATAAATGTCTTTACTGTCACTTTTGATACATTTTATGCATCCCTGCTGAATAAAAGTTTAAATTTATTTATTTTTTACATTGAAATAAAAAGTAAAACATTTGAACAGTACAATATAGAACGATAACCGCTTCAAAGTCATATACTACATTGTTGTCACATGACCATCATTGCATATCTACTTAAGTGAGTGATCATGTATTTTTCATCAAATTTTGAGTACATACGTCTACATTTTTAACAGTGTGATCAAACTGTGACCCAGTATGCATACTACATTTAAAAATAATTATAGCATGAACATGGTAGTATGCCACTTGGAACATACCTACTGTCCTAAAGGCCAAATTGCATTGAAACAGATTTGTTTCTGATCGTGAAACAAATAATACAGAGGCTACATACACATCTATGGCAGGAAAATAGTGAGCATTTGACCAGGGAGCCGTCAACACACACCAAATCCTGCAACTAGTCTCCATGAAAACAACCCATTCTGCTGTCTTCCTGCTGCAGCAGTCTGACCTGTCAATCAGGAGTCATGTTTGCTTTGCACGTCCCCACATGGTGCAACGTTCAACCACCAATAGCATAGCCTCTAATCTAGAAGGAATCTCACTTGCAAACAACACTGCACTCTGTCTCTGCCAGGCCTGAATGTGTACGTGGTGTAAATAACCATCAGAAGTTCATGCACCGATAAACAACTTCACCTCAGTCGCATCTGACCCCAAATCAGAGTTAACATAAATGCATCAATCAAGGCTCTGGTGTGTTCATGTTCAACACTGTTTTGCAATCAGCGCATCTAACCGCACGACCGCACCAGCAGTAATCGCTGGTATGTTGTTTTTATTGCAGATCTTAATATAGTAAAGTTCTACCGGCATCAAGGGAGCAGAAAGCAGCCCCGGCGCCCTTAGAGGAAGAGAAAGACATCAACACCAGACAAATGGGGCTCCGTGGAGGTCCTGTACTCTGTCAGAATGTCAAACAGACACTCAGACACTGAAAGAACCTGTAATACCCTCGCATTTGTCAGTGACAATGCATTCTGGGTAATATCAGAGCACTGTGTCGTATCAGGCAATGGGGAAGAAAAGTTGATAAAACGTCTGTATTGCTCAACAGGGTTTATTTGCTATCAGCATCTGTCAGTAATTTTGGAATGAGGTTATGTGATATAAAGAAAAGTCTTGCTGGAGAAATCTCAGCTGGCTAATGTACAGAAACACAGACGAGGTCTGGAAAAATTGACTCCACAGAGCATGTAACTCTGCATGTGTGTGGAATAGATGGATTACACCCCAAAATTATAGATAAGCAGAACCATGAAAATACATTCATTTGATTTTCTATCATGGTGAACTATATGTTGTTTTTATATTGAACTAATAAGCCTATAGAAACCTTTATTATTTTTATACTGAAAATACGCTATAATGATATTAGCATGGTATTACCTAAGCCTCACATAAACATTTTAGCATGTTAACATTTTCGTTAAGGCATTATTAAGCCCAATGTTAAGTATTTTATATGTATTTTTATATTTATTTGTATACTATTATAGTTTTAATATTTTTAAATAGCTTTCATTTTTATATTTTCAGTTTTCATTTTAATTTCTTTTGACATTTTTATTATATTTTGTTGAATACATCTTTTTATTTAGCTTTGATTTATTTTTATTTTGATGTTGTTGTTTTTTTTTATTTTAGTATTTCAACTTAAACGTATTTCAGTTAGATGCCCAAGCAAAATTTCTAATTTGCTTTTCTTTTCTTTTTTTAAGTTTAGGTTTTTCATCTAATATTTATACTTTTATTTCAGGGCTACATATTTCATTTCAGCTTTATTTCAATTACAGAAACCAGTTTTTAATAGTTTTCATTTTAGTTAACAATAATAACACTGATTAAGCAATTTTCCCTTAATGGTGAATGTTGACAATGTTGTGATTTCAGGTTTTCCTATAATTTAATACACATGTACCCCACAATGTAGGCAAAAGACACACACACACACAACATCTGTCCTTCTGTTAATTAGTGACTTGTGTATGTGATTCTTGCATATAGAAACCTGAAACAGACATTTGCATTCACATTTCACACTATTTCACTCTTCTTAGCTTCTGCATTTGAGCACATCCAAACAAACATAAGGGACAAGATTGTGCCAAAGCACACACAGCCAACAGATCTCACACACACACACACCCTCATGGAAAATGGGCCCGTCCTGCCAACCGCAGAGAGTTGTTTTGGAGAGGTGTGATGAGTGTGTGCTGTATTATTTCCCTGTTGTACTCACTGCTCATTAGAGGTCATTAGAGGTCATTTACTCCCATATTACCACAGTTTTAAGAGTGTGTTGAGTTTCATACGAGTGAATCCCACTACATTCGTATTTAATATACAGATTAAATGGATGAGGAAGATGGTATGGTTAACTAGTTACATTCATTGTGTTTTGGAGCACATTATGCTGGTGTCCCTGACTAACAGGACATCCTTGACCAACCTTTGCAAGGCTTCACTAATCTCTAGCAAACAGCCAACAGCCAGACCAGCACCAAACCAGCACTAGCCAGTATAAACTACACTTCAAGCTGATAAAAACTGGTCGTTTTAGCTGGCATAGTTTGGGAGCCTGTAGTGTGGTGGGAATCAGACCTTCTCCTCCTGCTTTCTCCTGCTCTTCTCTGCACTGGTTCTTCATGCTGATTTCGGCCCGCAGTGTGGTCAGCTCTAGCTCGTACTCCTGCGTGGTGCCCCGCAGACGCTCCAGCGTGGCGCGCAGACGGCACAGTTCCTCCTGCAGCAGGGCGATGTCATTCTCTCGCTCAGCTGCCGCCTCCTCCGCCGCCTGCTGCAGCTCCTGCACCTCCTCCTGTGCCGCATGCAGCTCCTCCTGCGCCTCCCACAGCTCACTGGCCTTCTCCTCCTCAAGACTGTCCAGCTCCTCTTGCACTGAACGCAGCTGGGCTTTGGGTCAGAAGCAGGGACAGAACAACATTTTTTAACTGAAAATCGGGTAATAAAAAGTATTGCAGTGCAGTCATATGATAATACAATGGTACTTTGATACGTACCAAAGTATAACATAAAACCGTATTCATATAGCATGGCATTCACATGGTACTCTTAGGTAATACCATGGTATTGATATGTGTTATTGGGAAATAAGTGAGAAAAATGTATCCCCAAGTGCCTAAAAAGTTTTAAAAGATAAAATAAGACAAAATAATAAAGCATACGTTATAAACTGATTCGGGCAGCACAGGTTTAATTCTTTGTGTATGAATGAATATCTAAAAAACAACTTATTTTTTCACCTAATGACGCTTTATACTGCCTACTTTTTCTTAAATAATATCTGAAACAGTATGGAGGATCCAAAAATTGACACTTTAAACAATGGTATGATACACATTTATTTCAGTTTGTGATGTCCAGGTTTTATTTTGGAAATAAATCAAATTAAATAGTAATAAAAAAAATACACAATAAATAAAATAAAATTTATTTCCGATCCACTTTTGTGTAAAATCTATTAAATCTTGATTTTTTTTTATTGTTAAATAAAACTAAAACATATATATATATATATACATATGTGTGTGTGTGTGTGTGTGTGTGTGTTTTGGGTACTTGAAATAAAGTTGAAATAAAATAAAATATAAAAATTAGATGAACAAATTTAAACATAAAATCAATAAAAAAATAGAAATGTTGTTTTGGCAACTTGGTAACTGAAATAAATAAGTTTGAAATTGAAGTACTACTAAAATGACTCTAAAACTGAAATACAAATGAAATAAAGTTAAATGGAAATATTAAAGAAAAAAAAAACATTAACAAAGGCACATACCAAATTACTAAAATTAAAATGAAAACTGACCATATAAAAATAAAAGCTAATTCAAATATCTTACAAATGGTAGGAAAAGTATGCATACACTTGTAAAACCTTATGAGCTGTCAACTAACTAATAAAATCCATGTAGCATTTATATATGCACCGTTTGAGGACATCAAGACCATTTGAGGTCTATAATCGGCCACTTCACTGAAAATCAAGGATATTTGAAGTGAAAAATACAGGCCTTTGTTTCACGTCTCATTACAGCATTCACTCAGCACAGCCAGCTGTCAAGTAGCAAAAAAAAATGTCAAAACCTCTCAAACTAACAACACAAAGTGTGAATTTTAGTCTGCAGGGGCTTCTGGAAAACTATAATCAGTCTCTTTCTTGCAAGGCTGGAACACCGTAAAAAAACAAAAAAAAACAAAAAACTTCGTCACAGGCTGTGATTAAACCGAAGAACCGTTTTCTCCGGTATCCAGCATGTGAATCTGATTCTGGCAGTGGTTTGTGTTATTCATATCTGTGATTCTATTACTCATGATGATACTTCGGTACAGCCCGTGCTCTTCTGCAAACGCAGGTTTACTTTGCCTCCTCACAGTTCATTTAATTTAATTACAGCACAGCCGCTGAGAGAGTGAAAGTGAGTCACTGGGGAAGTGAACAACAATTCCATCATCTCTGCTTTTCCATCTCTCCACGGCTCACACAAGGCCCTCTTTACTCCCTCTTGCACCAAAGTAGCACTCAAACCTGACTGATTGATATAATCTCCATAATAATGCATTTACAGATAACATTGAGTTTGAATACAAAGAGTTTGAAGACATTGCGGAAGTGTTTGAACATGACGTGCAGAGAGTAATGCAATTAGTTGATATTATCAATTTTAATGCATTCATAAAGATAATGAAGCTGCATTGGTAGTGCATACTGTCTACTATTGAAAAAAGTATGTGAAACAGTACGCAGTATGAAACATTAAGATTTTAAACAGAAGTATGCTACATTGTCACATTTAGAGAGTGCCATCCAAATATTATTTTTGAAACATAAATTAAATTAAATTAAATTAAATTAAATTAAATTAAATTAAATTAAATTAAATTAAATTAAATTAAATTAAATTAAATTAAATTAAATTAAATTAAATTAAATTAAATTAAATTAAAGATGATACAAAATAAAATAAAAATCTAAAATAAAATAGTAAATTAAATAAGATGACAAAAACAAAACAAAACGACAATAAATAAAATAGTCAAATAAAACAAAATGAAACAGTAATTAAAAATAAAATAAAATAATTACACTTTTTTAATTAAAGAAATTAAAGTTTCAGTAATTTAAAGTTTTTCAAACCAAAATGTTTCAAGAAAAGGAAGGTGTAATCAAGCACATTGCATTGTGGGATAAAAGTACCCAGTGCATTGTACTATAATGTATATTGCACATTGTGGCAAATGTTATCTGGGTAGTAGTATAATAGTATAATTTTGGGTAGTAGTATGGGTATAATATTTCAAACCATAGCCATAGCAACTATTTTTAATACAGCACAAAGATATGAATATGAAAATAGCCTCTTCAGATTATCCGGGGTCTGTGTTGAAATCATAAAAAAGCTTGATATATCAAGAATGTTTATTCATTAGCGTTGGACACAGCTGTTATTCAATATGCTGAATGTAAGAAGGTATTTGTGCTGCTTGATGACTGAGTAAAACAAATTGTATCTGTCATTTTTGAAGTCTACTAAGTTAATTTTATTAATTTTATCATTGACTTCAATTATTAGCACTGTGGTGCATACACATCAATTTCTAATTCTGTTTCTGTTCACCTTGAAGTCTCTGGATCTGTCTCGTAAAGCTCTCGGCCTGGTGGGCGCTTGACAGCCGCTCTTCCTCCAAAAGACCTACAAAGCAACAGAACAACATTAAAAGGCGGCTGGAGGGACATTAGAAATGTAATTAGTAACCTATCACTGGCATCCGACAATATTAACAAGCCAGGAATGTTTGTGTGAGGGCATGACAAGCAACAGGTGGTTTGGTGGTCAGTGACAGCTGAGCATGCTCAGAGGGAACTCCCCGATGATGATGTCACACCCTAAAAACAGACCCCATTAGCATACGCACCCTGAAGCTCGTTGTAGCTCTCCTCGTGTCGTTGCGACACCTCTCTGGTCTCCTCCAGCTCCAGGAGCAGCTGCACCACCTGCGACCTCAGCACCTCTAGTTCATCTTCTTCATCCACTCCTCTTTGCTCCTCTCTTGCCCCCTCTTTCTCCTCCTCCTTCACCTCCGTCTTCTCCCGCTCATCCTCCTGCCCCTTCTCTCCATTTCCGGCCTCCACCTCCTCCTGGTCTCTCTCCTCGTTGTCCTCCAGCGAGCCTCGCTCTTTGGCCGTCATTTCGCTGCCTATACCTGGCCGCTCCACTTTCAAGTCGCACACATCATCTGAGACAGAAAAAGAGATCAAAGATAAATTAATCAGTCAATTATATGCAAGACTTGATTCAAAATTTTTTCAGCAGTCAGATATTTATATATGTATATGTATATGTATGTATATACACGTTAATATTTCACAGATAAACACAAATAAAAATTACACTTACAAAGGTATGTCAGTGACTTTTTCCACACTAAAATCATGTTAATACACACATTTACTCCTTTGCTATCTATATATGTATGTATGAGTGCATATATATATATATATATATATATATATATATATATATGTGTGTGTGTGTGTGTGTGTGTGTGTGTGTGTGTGTCAATATTTATTTATTTTATTTATTTATTTATTTATTTGACAGAAATACTGTGAATTGAGCTTAACTTGTACTGAACCTACAATATTCCTTGAGCTGAATCCTCTCTGCTCTAATAAACATTAACTCATCCAGCAAAATCACATTTAAAAGTTGTCTCGCTGTCATACCCACATTCTCTGTTTGGAAATGAGATGTGCAGCTATACATGTCCCACACCCCCACCCCTAACCTCCACCTGTCGTCTCTGGTGAGAACCTACTAAATCCATCCACTCCAACACCTTCATCTGAGGAACCTCTTCAACACCTGCTGGCCCCCAGCTCTCATCTCTCTCTGCCACCAACAGACCTCCAGACCCCCTCAAGCAATCAAAACAGTATACTATACATATATACATATATAATACACATATATAGATATATATTATATGGCATTAAATTATTAATAATAATACTAATTTCACACACACATACCTACATCATTAATACTATACATTAGATAAAATATTAAAATAAATGTTATCAAATAAGACATTAAACAGATCTCATGTGATTTTTTTCTATGCTGCATGAAAAGTGACAAACAAACTGAATGAAAGAACACAAAGTGAGCATCTGATCTCCTCCTGTTGTCGTTCTCCTGTACAGTCTGTGCTAATCACCCACCAAAGGAAGGAGCCAACTGGTTAAAAATAGCTAATTTCAACACTCTCCTTCTCTCCAATCCCTTTCTGCTTTTCTATTCATCACACCCTCATTTCCTGCCTTGCACGATTCACATCAGCTATTTTTCATTCTCGTTTTCCAAATGATCCTCCTTTTCTTTCCCGGGTCCATCCCTCTTTCCAACAGTCACCTGTTTCTCTTTTTTAAATCTCCCACCCCGTTCTTAGCACCATCTTTCTCGCTCTCTCTCATCTTCACTCTAGCGTTAACAGGTGCTGCCCTCTGTGGTTTCACTCGCTTGCCCTCTGACCTCTGAACTCAAGAGAACCAGGCCATTCAATTGGCCAATTACACACACTTCATCTCTCCTACAATCTCACACTCTAGATCTCTTAAATGATACAAGGATTGTGTGTGAGAGTATAATTATTTAAATATATATTATTACTACTACTTCTATTTTTATCATTATTATTATTAATACATTATAAGATGTGTATATATGTATGAGTATATGAATAGACACATAATTAAAGCAGTATCTTAAATAATTTAGCTGAATCAGTGCTATATGTCTATAATATCACAAGGCAAAACTAAACTGGTTAATGCTTGTGAACGACGCCAGGTCCACACACAAGACACAGAGACAGTCGGCCATGCCAGACCTGACTAGACGATTCACCTCTCTGATCCTCTTAGATCAGATGGCTGTGTGGGATTAACGGAATCTGTCAGTGCGGAAAATGAATTGTCTTGCCAGCAACTCCTCCCCCTCCATTCCTCCGTCTTTCTTTCTCCTGATCACTCCCTCTTTCTCTTTTCCCCTTGTTTGTTTTCTCTTCGCTTCCCTCTCTCTTCCTGAATGTAATATTCCCGTGTAATGAGCCCTGTGCTGTATTATTGATCATGCTTTGCAGATTAAAGTCTTTCAAACATAAAATAATAATGAACTAGTGGGGAAACACACACACATACAGGCGGAAGCAGCAGAACAGGCAGGGTCTTGAGCTCAAAGGATTATAGGCAGCTTTGATAGGAACCAATCAGCTTTATCCAGCGTATCTGAGCTATGAATTATTCTGTGGGGACAGATAATTATTTTTACACGCAGACAGACATCTGGATCAATCACTGGATAGGCAATGCACACCGCAATCATGAAGCATCCCTCAGGACGAATAAGGCAAAATTACGCAACAGCAGCATCTCTGGTTTTCTGTATAATTAGTACAAAGTAGTGCTGTCAGTCTATGATCTTTGATACAAAACTTATAGTTCTGCATATACTTTTAAAATTTAAAGGAATAGTTCACTCAAAAATGAAAATCTGCTTGAAATGTACTCACCCTCAAGCCATCCAAGATGTAGATGAGTTATCTTCATCTGAACAGATTTGGAGAAATGTAGCACTACATCACTTGCTCACCAATGGATTCTCTGCAGTGAATGGGTGCCGTCAGAATGAGAGTCCAAACAGCTGATAAAAACATCACAATAATCCACACGACTCCAGTCCATCAGTTAACATCTTGTGAAGTGTAAAGCTGCCTGTCTGTTTGTAAGAAAAAAATCTATCATTAAGGCTTTTTAACATTAAACTGTCACTTCTGACGGCACCCATTCACTGCAGAGGATCCTGGTGAGCAAGTGATGTAACGCTAGATTTCTATAAATGTGTCCTGAAGAAATAAACTCATCTACATGAGGGTAAGTAAATTTTTTAGAAAATTACATGTACATGCACAATCTAACACTGCACAGAACACAAAACACATGTGAACTGATTTTTTCTCTCTCTTGTAATAACAGGCACCATATATGCAATGGCTGACATAACAGAGGCCTCACTTCCTGTTGAACTCAGATTCTTGTGATTTTCTCATGCATGACGACGACTCATAAAAACAGCCGCATCTTTATTCAACAGACATAGTTCAGGAGAATGCAAGAGTCTGTTCCTTAATTTGTGTAATTTTGCCTGATTACAATTCCATGATGGAATCTGCAGCTGCATCAAAATGAATGAGAAATGTATTATGTGGAATTTAAACCCATCTCAGAAATCAGAACATTCATTTACAAAACAACTGACACAATTAATTTGCAAATGAGCACTTTGGAGATAATAATCAAATGAAACTATTTCAGACCATGTCCAGAGGCTCATATTTAATCTTAATATCATGAGTGGCATTAAATGTTGACGTGCAAAGAGTCCCATTACAATCGTCACAAACACAGACAAATATAGTTCTCGTCTAGTTCACAGAGTTCTCATGAGCTCAGAGAATTAATATCATTCTGGTCACAAGTGTGGCTTTGGGATCGGCCTGCGGCACTGGAGGAAATCCAGTCTAATTTCTCAACATAACAAAAACAACATCAATCAAACACTGATGTATTCAGATGTGTTGCACCCTTTCTAGTTATGCTATCGCCTGTGTTCTGACCTGTCAATCATAATGCCAGTACTGTCAGCAGTCAATCAGAATGACATGATCTCAGTGAGGGACAAACTAACTAAATACAGTATTTCAGGGGTCTTCATCAGGGGGTCACAGGGGGTCCACAGCAGTACTGCATTCATCCATCTATCCATCCAAAATAAAATAAAATAAAATAGTTGCTAAAGAAGCTGAAGTTCAGCTACATTTCATTGTCCCACACACAATTAAAATCTCAAATAATAAAAATATTTAATCCATTTCAAATGTAACATACAAGTTAATTAATCTACATATCAGTAATTATTATTTAAATGCATATTTAATGTAAACATCATAAAATAAGTATGTAAATACAACATTATAGTATCATATACAGGTGCATCTCAATAAATTAGAATGTCGTGGAAAAGTTCACTATAGGCATTTTATTTAAAATGCAACACTCTCTTCTAGTCCTTGGCCTGAAAGACCCCTATTATACACTAACTAACTTTACATGCATATTTGCTTTTTTGCTCATGGTCAGCCTGTGTCTGGCTAAAATCCAAACTGTGACATCAGTTTCCTGTTTATAGCGCTGCTCTCACTCCCAGTGCTAGCCGAGGGTAACATTACACTGACCTTAACCTTAACCTTCAACAAACCTTTCAGCCTTATACTCTCAAGTTATCCATCAAATCCAAAAATAATATTTAAACACTTAATTTAATGCAGCCTGTCACCACCATATGAGCTGCACAGAATATCAGAGTCTAAACATAATTATTAAACTGAGCCCAGCACTGGGAAGAAGAAAGATGATGGGAAATCCTGGGAAATCAAGGAGCAAGAGTAGAGCAAACACCTTCAGCACACATACAATCACAAAACACAAAGACTTAGACTAACCTACAAAACTAGACTCTTGCATACACACTTAAGGCATTTTCTACTTAAGTTGCATTCCTCCTCATTATTAAAGCATGACTGCAATGCAGCGCGCTGTTTTTCCATAGCAAACACCTGCCAAAAACAAGTACCAGTACAGCTGCAGTGCGGTGCAAAGGCTAAAGTGCTTTCTACTGCATCTTCAGTAATGGGTCAAAAGTCGAATTTGTCAGTTAAACTGCTGCTCATAAAGTCAAACGGGCTCCCAGAGCGTTAGCTGCAGGTTTCTGACTGAGGAAAGTAATGTGGTCGGTGTTTGCTTGTTGTATAAGCCTGCAGTAAACCACAGGGTAAGTATAGACTGCAAAATCTCTGCGAAAAGGACCCGGACTGAGCTGGCTAAACAGTGCCTGTCAGTTAATAAACTGACAGCTCTGGTGAAAAACAGATGCATGGGAAAAGGGACTGTAACAGTCACCTACAGAGACCTTCAAGCGAATGTACACAATAAGAAGTCCTAATAATGGGCGCTGTGGCTCTAATTGCTTTTAAAGGACAGTTTCCCAAAATATGACATTTCTTTCATACTTTACTTACATTTATGTTGTTCCAAACTTGTATGACTCACTTTCTTCTGTGGAACACAAAAGAATATGTTTTGCAGAATGTTCATGCTGCTCTATTCCATTCAATAA